AGTATATAATGCGCACTATTTGCCTAAAAACGAATATTTCGAAAAACTGGAAATTTTGGAGTCGATTTAAAAAAAGCTGTTATTTCTTGTTTTTTATTCACAGTTAGGTGTTATAGTAGCCTTCAGGAACTACCAAGGGACATTGTAATATATTGTTTGTATGGCTGTTATTAAAACTCGAATCTCGTGTTATGAGCGTTTTGAACGGGACTTCGCACAGGCGCTCGCAGAATTTTGGCCTATGTAAGGTTTTCTATTTATCGCTAGCAGTTACCTCAATCTCCAACCATAAACATTAATGAAATCTGGAGTAGTGCACTTAAAAAGAAAAACTTACTTAGAAGTCTGTATCCACAAGTGCGGGCGCAGTGCATACTTTCTCCGAATACGGGGTAATGCAGATACATTAAAGAATTCCTCTGGGGCCTTTTGCTTTCGGCTTTGAGTTTGAAATACCGAACTTGATATGTAATTGTCATATTTTCTCACGTCAAACATATATGCAGTGCATATACATATGTACGATACGTATGTACGATATAGTATGTACGATATAGTATCTGACGCTTAAAAAGTACGGTTTATTTTCTGCACATGCGGACTTTTTGTAAAATAACAAAAATTTCGTAGAGTATAAGGCTTCAAATGTGTTCGTCATGTGTTTAGATTTATTTTCTATTTTCGGCGATTCATGCCGTGTTACTTAGACTTTTTTCCTGTTGACATAAGCTAGCCCCGGAGTCTAGATGTTACGTACCTTCCCCGTCAATACATAGGGCGAAGCTCACACACCTTGCAAATCCCCACAGTGCCAAGTAAATAAATTTTGTTAGCATAAATATTGTTGCTTCACTGGATCTTACGCTCAGATTTTGAGGTAAGTACTAATATTAACTAGAAAAACTTACATAGGCCAAACGTCTGCTCAGTTGAGCGTCTCCGCGAAGTCCCGTTCAAAACCTTTATAGCACGAGATCTGAGTCCTAATAGCCGCCATACAAACAATATATTACAATGTCTGTTGGTGGTTCATGATCACCAATATAATATCTAGCTGTGAATAATAAATGAAAGAAATGAACGGTATGTTCGTTTGGAAAATGGACTTCAAACTTAGCAGGCTTTTCTGAATTCATGTTTTTCAGGCAAATGTTCGGCGCTATGTGTTTAGCGCGGAATATTAAAATTATGCTAAAAAATGCTTAATTCGAGCTTTACGGTGATGTAAAGATGAGAAAAATATATTGATTAGGTCACGCATGAGACCTTTGCTGAACTTCGTCAAATATTGTTGCATAGAGGCGTTTTGACAATAAAAAAAAATTATTATACTATGACCTAGACGCTTTATTAGCATGACTCGCCGTTTTCATTTTCTTTCATTAAAGGAATTTACAGGTAGCTACTAAACATTTCAGAGGCTTTGAATATGAGTTCGTGTATTTTTCTGAGTCACTTGTATTACTGGGCGACAAGTGAGCAAAAACCAAAATGTAAGCTTTTATAGCCGCCATACAAAAAAAAATATGACATTTTATGTTAATTTTACCTTATAAAGCACTGCAATAGGTAGCTAGAGAAAAAACAATTAGCCAAATAAAAGGTAGGCTTTTTAGAAACTCGACCTCCGAATCGCAATTTTTTTTTAAATAGTCCTTGCTTTAGGAGAAAAAACTGTCCTTTCTCGTTTACACACAACAACAAATTTGTTATCTACAAAAGGAGTATACTGTAAGCTTTCTGAAAATACTAAATATGTTAAAACACCTGATAGAGGTCACACGGAAGACCTGGTACACTTCGACAAATATCGTCCAAAAACGTCATGTTGGCAAATTTTCTAAAATATATTTCATATAAATAATCACGTTAAACCTATTTTTCAGAGAATGAGTCTGTTCACAGGTATCTATTAAAAAATAAGACGCGCCAAGTTTGAATAGTGCATTTATGCGAGTAAGTTGATTTACTGAAAACGAAATCAGACTTCACGCTTTTATAACTGCCATTCAAACAAAATCTTACATTTTGTATTTATATTACCTTATAAACCACTAAAATAGCTAGGCAGAAGAAAATATTTCCACAAATAAAAGTTTTTTCTTTTCAAATTGGACCTCCAATTCGCAAAAATTTTCAATTAGACCTTGATTTACGAGAATACACTGCTATTTCAATTTGAAAACAACATTACATTTGTTATTTATAGAAAGAGTATACTCTTAGCTTTCTGAAAATACTAAATGTGTCACGATATCTCAAATAGGTCACACGGAAGCGCTGGTCAAACTTCGACAAATGTTGTCGAAGAGGCACACTTTGGCAATATTTAAAACTAAAGTGAAGATAAATAATCACAATAAAATTATTGACCATAAATAATCCCTCTTCTGAGAGTGGATGAAAAAATTTACATTGCACTACCAAAAAAGGCCAAAAGTAGAAGGGAGTGAAGCATGACACCTCCGACAGGCAAGAGAGAGGTCAGTTTGCGACTCGGCTGCTTAAAATGCGCATAACTGGAGAACAAATATCGCCCGAGCTTGCGGTTTGCACTTCTTGTCACAGAAGGGTTTTCCCCAAAACACATCGCTTTTTCATAAAAATAAAAAATTCGACCCTAAATCCGCGCCTGAGTTGTGATGAAACCAGACATACAGAGGTATATTTGTGGACATCGTGCGGAGAATGAAGTCGCGGTTAAATCTGCATTTTAATTTAGATTGTGGGTTTCACGTAGGATTCCGTGTTTTCGTATAAATTCGATAAAATCAAAAAACACTCGCCCGTAGCATTTTTTCCAATAAAACTTTAACTGAAAAACTTCAAATTTGAAGATGGCGACAGCAAAAAAAAAAAAAAAAACTGAACAGACGGTAAGCTTGCTACGAACAAGCTTGGTAAGAGCACAGGTTCAGCGGTCATCAGGATAGGCCATCCCAAATTCCTTCAAAATCTCGTAGTAGTGACCAAAAAAGGTTCACCGTTTATCCACTCGAGCTCTTTCTTATTTTCAGATTGAACTTCTTAGAGGAAGGTAGGGTTGTAATTTGATAACCGGGAAAGCTATTAACTCTTAGTTTAATACGAGACGTCAGGTGACGCTTCTAGCTCACCACTCCACTCCAAGAAGCCGCAGAGAAAGACGGTCGAATAGGATGAAAAGTTTTCTAACGACTACGTGAAGGAGCTCATGGTATTAATGTGACTTTTTCGAGTTTACTAGTTGTACTTTTAGTATTACTAAAGGCAAGAGCGCCAATGTCACGTAGTTCACTTCCGTTTTTAAAAATCTAAGGCAGGGTCATACACGCCGGGTAATTTGTGTTTTTATTTTTGATCTTGATCATTCTGAAACATGGCAAAAAAAAACATGTATACTCAAAAAAATTGAGAATTCAAAAAAAAAAAACCATAAACGCCGCGGAAAAACAAAGTCCAAATAACAACTTCTGAATTTTACAAAAAATCAACTCTTAAAACACGGAATCCTAGTTGTACGGCGTAAAACACTCACTTCATGCATCCTGTTTTCGGTACACATTTGGGCTGGGCAGTTTTTTTGGAACTCCAAAAACTAGTCTTCGCAGAGCACTCCTGTTCACGCGGTATCGGCTGCAGAGTTGACGCTATGCGTGTTATGGTCCACTCGTGTCTCCAGTTAGTATCACGCGACTACAGTCTCCAAGCTGGACTATAAGGCAAAACACGGCACCTGCCTGAAGGCCACTGGTTGGTATGCAACAGATATAGTATTCAATGAACTATCAACTTTGGACCGAACATACAAGGGGATACAAGTGACATTAGCCTTTTTACATCGCACCACCGTTCTGACCTTGAAGGAGATCCTGCTTTCCTACTCCCTTCTCTCTCTCCAAGCGGAGAGCGTGGTAGAAGGTACACCCTTGCCAGACAATTCAACCGTCTGCTTTTAATTAAAAAAAAAAAAATTGGGTTTTGTGTATGTTTATACATCCTAGAACTTGGTCTGCTTCAACGGGCAACGAGTCTCCCAGCTGTAGATGGGAATTTTCCTTTTAATCACTTAATTTCACTTTCTCCACAGGGGTAAGGACAGGAGTGTGACTACGAGATAAAATAATGACGGATGACGCGGTAGCGGTTCCCAATCCCCAAATACCTGTTTGCTGACCTAGTTTCCCGTGCGCTATGACCTGCGGGCTGCCATGGATTCTGATGATAACTGGTATTTTATTTATTCTCATTTATTTGCTCTCAGGGCCCGAAGGCATTACAGAGCGGAGTTAGTTTTATTACAAAAAATTTTAACAACACGCAAGGCACAAGCCGGCACAATGCCTAAGGATCAAACAAAAAAATCTTAATTGCATTTTAAAATCGACAGTTTCACTTGTTGAGACTATGTGCATAGGAAGACTCAACTCACACTATAATCGCGTTTGAATTTGAGCCAGTCGGTGCATATCGGTAACGTTTGTTACTAGAGCTATAAATAGTAGAACACGCAAATATAACAATGGTAGGCTGTTTCATTCACTCAAATTTTGCTTTATGACTAATGTTAAATGCTTCTGCGTACCGTATCCAGCTAAAAGAGTATATATCTTGCATAATATTTTGAGCATATTAAGCGGCGAAATAAGATGCGGTCGCTGGCATTAATTCGTTTTTGTTTGTTGGTATTCAGATGAACGACTGGCACATAATTCTGAAGATCACGCTCAAATTATAACAGTGTTTGATTCTGAGCAACTCGGTTCATATTGGTAACTTCTATTACTAGAACTAAAAATATTAGAGCAAGACAATGTGACAATGGTAGGCTGTTCGATTCGCTCAATATAGCTTTATAACGAATGTTATATCTGACTTCCCTGTACCGGATCCCCCTAAGGGAATGTATTTTCTCATAATGTTTTGGAGTATATTAAGCAGTGAAACGTGATGCAGTCGCTCATATGTTTTTTTGTTTTGGCAATCAGTTGTATAATTGGCACATAGTACTGAATACTCACCGCCGTCTATGCGTAAATCGGTGAAGGTCCAAATGTAGTCACGAATAAGGCAACTGCAGAAAGGGGTTTCGAAAAGTTAAGCGCACGGCAAATATTAAAATTTAAATGTGGCACACCGAGTAAGGCTTACCTCGTGAGCAGGATTACGATATCGCTTTGGTTGAATATTTCATTTTTTTCAACCCACTCTTGAAACAAAGAGAGGGTGAATGGACCGTCCATGAAGCAGGCACTATATATTTTCTCGGTGATCTCGAATGTCTCTTCGTCTTCTTGCTTGGAAGTGCGATTAACGAAATTAACAATTTTATTCACTGGATGCCCGTTTATGGCGGGCTTCTTAACCTCAGTTCCATCGAATGACATTTAAGCGATCGGCCAATGAGCGCCGCCACTCCTGTCAAATGGTGCTGCAACGCACGACAGGGGTGCTGATTTTCCGATGGCTGTAATGTTGTTCGATGGGATGATATTTTTTCGTATAAAGGAGAAAAAGGGGCCACATAGAATTCCAAAGTTTGCATGATGACGTCTTTGTCGACGGAGCAGATGCTTTACCCTTGCATGACTTGCAGTGACGTAACATCCGCTGACATTGCGATGGAAACATGCGATAGCATTACAGCTTACATCGTACTTCTTAGACATTTCTGTTGTACCGTCAAAGTTATTTTCCTCGACGTGAACAAGTAAGAATGGCCATCAGCATATTGTAATGACGCTACCTGCAAACCACTCTATCCACAATCTGAGGCTATGCCAATAAAATACTCCAACATGTTTTACTCACGAACACCACTGAGAACAAACACTACAGGAGGAATTTTTCGTAGGGTATTTCCGGGCTATATATTTGCTGTCCGCAACAATGACGTCGTTTCATCGCATGCGAGCCGCTAGTATCGTCTGCGGAGTTTCGGATGTCGTACCGGTAGGGCGAGGAGCGTTCCTGGGCTGCGAAATGGTTTTTCAACAACACTCTCCCATCCTAGCCTTTGCGTTCATTCTGGTACAAAGGCCCGAACCTTCGATATCAGCTACCACAGGATAAAGCGACGACAGGAGACAATAATATCCGAACAGGTGGTGATATCAATTCATAGCTAGTACAACAGAAATACTCGTACCGATTCTTTTTGTTACAATGAAAGTAGCTTGGTTCACAATTTTCAGCTTGCCCACAATATTTATAGAAACTTTTGAATAAAAAAACGAAAGCCGTTTACCACTCCCTGTGACGCTGAATTAGAGCGCAGCTCTTGAGGAGGAGGAGAAAGGGGTACTTAGGAGAGCGTATACCCCTCCTCCTCATCCTGCCAGCTACTCCTCCCTCCGAGCGGCATCGCCGTCGCCGTCGCTGTAGGCGTAACCGTGAGGTCACGTGACCCTCGTGACCTCACCGGAGTCACATGATCTCACGGGGGTCACGTGACGCAACCGGGGTCACGTGACCTCACAGGGGTCGCGTGACGTCACCGGGGTCACGTGACCTCACGGTTACGTCGACGCCGCTCAAGCAAGAAACGGGCGCCTAAGAGCTGCGCTCCAAAAAATAAAAATAACTTTACGTGCCTATACTCTGTGTCAGCTTAAGCCGATGCTACGTGCGGGGTGGACTAACAGAACGCAGGCATTAACTGGCATGACACCGCCTCCACTCTTGACGCCACTCCGCGCGGCGCTCGAGAGGAAAGGCAGAGAGGGGCGTTTTCGTCTGCTATGGTTAATCGACAGTATTTTCTGCTACAACTCAACAAGTGGCATTTAGCGTCCTGAAATTGTATCAAGTGCGTCCACGTTTAATATATTTACTAATATTATATCTACAGATCTTGATTCAAAGTATGCACCATAACATCACATATTTTTACAACATGCTGGCATGAATGGGTCGTTCTGTTTCCAAACCCACATGCGAGTGAGCTCTATGCTCGTACTTTTCATTTACTTTGCAACCTTCGTTTTCTAAGTAACTGTCATTAAAATAATTTTAGAGCGCCGCTCTTAGAAGCACGCTTCCGGTTTGAGCGGCGTCGCCGCCGCCGTCGGCGTAACCGTGATGTCACGTGACACCCATGAGGTCACGTGACCCACAGGAGGTCACGTGACCCCGGTGAGGTCACGGGACCCCCATGAGGTCACGGGACCCCGGTGGTCACGTGACCCCCGTGAGGTCGCGGGACGCCCATGAGGTCACGTAACCCCGGTGAGGTCGCCGGACCCCCATGAGGTCACATGACCCCCATACGGTGGGGGGCCCCCGTGAGGTTACGTGACCCCGGTGACGTCACATCACCCCTGAGTTCACGTGACCCCGGTGAAGTCACGTGACCTCCGTGAGGTCACGTGATGTCATGATTGTCACGTGAACTCACGGTTATGCCGACGGCGACGGCGGCCCCGCTCGGAGGGAGGAGTTGCAGGCAGGATGAGAAGGTGAGGAGGAGGGAGGAGGGCTATACCCTCCCCACAGTACCCTTCCATTTTCCTCCTCAAGAGCTGCGCTCTAATTCGGCGTTACAGAAAGTTGTAAACGGCTTTCATTTCTTTATTGTGGGAGTGACTGAGGCACTCTGAAATATGCAGCAGGGTGTTGAAGATGCTAGTTGCTGCTAAACATGTGCAGTATGCACTTCTTCAATCCGCCCGTTTTATCAAATCAGTGTACGTTACAATGGTTTTAGGCCCAATGCTTTAAGGAAAATGACATCATACAGCCGTCGACTTTGTTTTTGAGAATACGCATCATGTTTCGTGCAAGCGAAACGAGGAAAGAATAGTGCCAAACTTCACATCTTGGTCACAGGTATGCGCGTGGATTCTACACTTTGAAAAGTTAAGCACTATAATCTTTTGTCCTTTGCGCAGTTGTCAGGCGATACGCCTTGGTTACATTGATCGTGCAGATCATCATGCAACGTCTGTGCGGCAGAATGGTTTGTAGGCATGACACGTAATGCGTTGAATTATTTTTGTATTATTGCGCGCTGATTTATATGACCATTCTGGCGCCGTTCGGTAGATCCATTTCGAACATGCACAAAATCATTATAGTACCGAAACAAAATCATACAGTCCTATGTTAAAACTTTCGACAAATCCATAAACTTAGCGCTGATGAGATCTATGATTGTGTTTAAATAGCATTGAGACACCATTTCACATATATTCAAAAATTGGCAGCAGTATCAATATTTTATCTTTGTTTTCTCGCTGACCCACTTTTTTATCATAAAATACCGAACCGTTTAACCTGGATTACTCCAAAACATTCCTTCCGCATGTAGTCTTTGTGGCACATGTTTTCTAGTTTCATTAAAATTCATTGTAGAAAAACTCAGCTGATTACTTTCTAACTTTTCCAGTATTTTATGCTATATAAAAAATGCCAAAGAAACTACAATGCCAGTGGACAACTTCAGCGTTTCTGTTATATTTAGCGCATAATTAAAAGTTATTGGTTACCACCAAACTTGTGAAAAACAATTTTGATTGCCCAATATACAACAGACTGTTACAGCCGCCTCGGTGGCTCCGAGGCGAGAGCGCCGTCCTACGAATCCCCAGGTGGCGGGTTCGAATCCCGACCGAGGTACCCGCAATATGACGGAGGGTTATTGCGGAGAAGGCGCCGTGTAACCGAGCTTTCGGTTGCACGTCAAAAGATCCCCAAGTGGTCGAAATTAATCCTCAGTACTCCGCTGGGGCGTGCCAGATGCCCGTCGTTGGTTTGGCACGTAAAACCCCCAAATTTGACTTTAACGGAGTGTTACACTACTGCGGAAGAGTAACCAAATCTATAACTTTTGATATTGCCACGCGCATCGGCGAGCAAGCGCGTGCATGGCCGAGTGTTTACCGCGCTTGACTGTCGCGCGAAAGGTGTAGTTTCGATTCCAGTCAGGGGACTGTACTCTTATTTATTGTTTCAACCTGGCCTTCTCCTAAGTTCGAGAACATTCTCGTCTGATCCAGTTCCGAATGTTCTACGCACCGAAAGTTCTACGCCGAATCATTCAGAAACCCGCGAGGGTGCATAAGGAACTCCACATGGCGAGCTGAGCCAGTCTTGCCCGAGCGTTCGATCCTGCTGTTTCGCCGCCATCGACGCCCGCGACGCTCTGCTGTTTTCTTCTGATCCCTTTTTTTGTTTAAATTGCAGATCTTAGGCGCCCGTTTCTGGCTTGAGCGGCGTCGCCGTCGTCCTTGGCGTAACCGTGAGGTCCCGCGACGCCCCATATCCGCTGACCCCCAAGGTCACGTGACCTCCTCCTCTCCCCCCCCGAGATCACGTGACCCCCGTGAGGGGAGGAGGAGAAAGGAGGGGAGCAGGGAGGTTGAGCAGGTGGGAGGAATTCAAATTTTCATCACTCCGAAAAATGATTTTAAAAGACTTCTGCTCCTTTCGACTTTCGACGGCTTCGAAACGGAGCCCTTTCGTTCAGGAGTAGCAGGCAGATCCAGGCCTGCTACTCCGTTCAGCTCCATTCCAGGCCTGCTACTCCGTTCCAGGCCTGCTACTCCGTCCGGAGTAGCAGGAGAGCAGCAGTGTCACGAGGGAGGAGGAGGGAGATGGATTATACCCTCCCCTCAGTACCCTTCCCTCCTCCTCCTCAAGAGCTGCGCTCCCATTCGGCGTTACAGGGAGTTCTAAACGGCTTTCATATTTTGTTTTGGGCACATTTTGGCCCCTTAAACATTTAGTTTCCTGAGATATCACCGCTTCATCAATCGTCATTCGTGACAATATGACGCAAGAGATGAAATACAACGTGCAGTGTGCCATCCTCGCTTCACACGCTTTACCAACGAACGTCTCTTGCCTGTAGTGTAGGCTGCCACGTAAGCATGCCTCTGTCTTTCATTCCAGCCAGTCGTCATATTTTCTGTCTAGACCCAAGCCACACTTAAGATTCCTCTCTTGGCACAGTTCATCATCAAAGGTCTCTTGCCGGTCGTGAAGACTTTCACGATGATTCAGATCCTGGCTTTGTGCCAGCTTCTTTTGTACAATCTAACCAGCTGTCGAATTTTCTTGATTGGTTGAAGCAGCGCAGAAGGTTCCTCTTTGCTTGTTGTACCAACAAATACCTCTTGTCTGATTGCCTCTAGCCTCGTGACCTGTCGGGCGGTCCATGGTTGGGTCAGAACTCGAGTGCCCCACAACTCATCTTATTGTCGTTTTCGTAGTTAGAGTCATCCTCAGCAGAGTTACAATCGGTTAAATTGATGAAGCGGTCAATTGAAATGTCCATGAGCGTGTATTTTACCTGTAT